TATATGGTTGTGGTACAATTTAATGCCTCTAGAAAATATCTCTAATCTTTTCTAACCATAAAAAATCCCTCTAATAAAATGCCAAAGACATTTTATAAAATGACTCTTTATTTATAGAGACAATTCACCATAAGGTAATTATGAGGCATTTCTAAAAATGCCTCTACACTATTGTAAAGGCATTTGAAAAGTGTCTCTATAGCATTAAGTGACTAGTGTCTCTACAAGGCATTTTTGCTATACTGATAGTTTATTACATCAGGAAAAAGTTCAACACAGTTAAGTCTTAACTTGATTCAAACTCCAAATTAAGTTGTTCATATAAGAGATTGATTTACAAATATGTTCTACAACAGTTGAGTCCTTAGTGGGTTGTACCCATTATATTTCTCAATATCAAATTTTTGGATTCTCCCTTCTAATTTACTCGAGTTAATGTGTGCCTATTAAAGAAAGAGTTGACCCTTCTCTTTCATTTATTGTCTTTCACATGGGTCATCAAATAAAATACGTCATACAATTAACTCTAGTAAATTAACCAATTCCTCACTTTTTCTCATATAACCCCCTTTCCCCTCCCCTCCTTCCCGCGTTCACCCCCTCTCTCACATTAATATCAGCATCGGCCCTCTTTATTATAGGCCAATTTACTTATTATTGTTGTACACATCCTTCGAAGATATGAACTCATATTTCAACTCATGCTTTTCTATCAGTTACTTAGACGGGAACTAAATTAACCACGCTCAAACAATATGCATATGCTAGGTACTGATATATAATAGCACGAAAACTCTCGTGTTGCCCTACCCCAGAGGCGGCTCGGGAGGCGACGACCCGGTCGAGCAGCCAACGGCAAAGCCACGCGGCCGCAAGGACGGTGGCGGCAGGGCTTCTCGCTGACCTCACACTCGGGCAGCCAGGGAGTTGCCTAGGGTGGCAGTAGTGGAGACCGCCAGATCCGTGTCGCTTCGGCCAGATCTAGAGGGGTGGCGGCTGGCAGTAGGGACGGCGTTAGCAACGGTGGCGGGAAAGGCGACGACAACGATAGAGTCTCGGCGGTAGGGACGGCGACGGCAGAGTCTCGGCGGCGGCGGGAGCCTTGATGGCAGCGGGGATGGTGATGGTGCGACGGTGGCGGTGGCGGAGACCCCGGATCCGGTGGCGGGGCGCCTGGATCTTGCACGCGTTGTTGGATTCGGCGCCCCCGTGCTGGATCCGGCAGGAGTCGGCACACCAAAGGCGCTGGCAGGGAGACCGGTGGCTGGGTGAGCCAGTGACGACGCGGTGTGCGGATGTGGTGTCGACAATGACGGAGGGCGGCATAGTGCGCGTGCGGAGGCGCGACTAGCGGAAGAGGAGACCGGTGAGGCACGAGGAGGCGCAGCTGGTACGGAGGCCGGTGAGGCGTGGCTGGTTCGTGGTCGCGGCGCAAAGAGGCACAGGGATGCTCGGCCACCGGCAATGGATGCCAGCGCGACACGAGGAGATGCGGCCGGCCCAGTGGGAGGCGAGGCCGGCGGAGGCGGAGGCCGACAAGGCGCATGCCGGTGCAGCATGATCAGGCACAGCCGGTGGTGACATGCAGAAGCTGGCCAGCAGGGGACGCCGATGCAGTGGTACCCATGCGCTGGCAGAGGTTTAGATGGTGGGAGCAATGGTGCGTCAGCTATGGATAGGCAGGCAATGGACGGCAGGTGAAAACCTAGCCCAGCCTTGGTCGGGCCTGCAACGATGGCGTTTTGAGCATCACTTCCCCTCCTGAGGGCGTTATCGTGCCGTCTCATCCCCTCTAGCTGGTCGGCCCGGTGAAAGCCTAGTCTCAGTTCTCTTTGAGACCTTGATGGCTCCTTGGAGACGTTGTCTAGGTAGCCCCTTGCCGAAACCTCCCAAACAACTGGCGCAAGCTCACTCTAGACTAACGTCCTCTTATGTCGGCACTCTAGCTTCTGCAAGTTGGCCACATCGGAGGGCCTAGGGGGGAAAGCAGATCCATTCTTCTCTCTAACCCCCTCTCCCTCAATCTCAAAGATATGGATAAAGCGGGATTTCGTGTCGGTTGTAAGGATTGGGTTTTGGGCGATCTCGACTGTAGTTCCTTTGTTGGTCTAGCGGCGGTCGGTCACGTTTAGCGGTGGCCGGTTCGGTGCTAGACTCCTCCAGGGTCTGTGTGTTGGAGCTGTCAGTGTGTGGGTGGTGGTATATTTTTTTTCATTTTCTTGGTTATGACCTCCCAAGATTGTAATCTTGTTTTTTTTCTACTCTATTAGGCCTTTCACAGTGGGCGGAACTTACCGTGGCTTTGTCTCACGTGGCAAAAAAAAGTGGGTGGGGCCCATAGCTATACTCGGTTCTCCGGTTCCTAGCAAAGCAACAAGGAACTTTGCTCGGGCGCGGGGCCCACTCGGGCACGGGCCCACTTGGTGAGCACGCGGGCGACGACGACTCCGCGTCGGTGGCGACTCCGCGCCGCTGTGGGAGGTCCTCGGCCGCCGCCCATGGCGAGTCGCCAGCGCGGCTCTCTACTCCAGTCGCCGGCCGCGTCGGCCACGCCGCCCCCGATCTGGTCGACCGGAGCTCGCCGGCCAGGAGCGGCCCGCACGGGGTGGAGAGGGAGATGCGGGCGGCCCCCCCAGCTCAGCTCAGCGCGATGACGACGACACCGCCGCCGTCCTCCTCTCTCTGCCTTCTCGTCGCCGTCGGTTGGAGCTACTTCGCGTCGACGTCGGTGGTGGCCGAGCCGCCGCTGCCGGAGAGGCGAGCTCCGGAGGAAGATGAAGAGGAGAGAGCAAAATGTTCGGCTTCGGGCATCACGGCCACCACGGCCAAGACCAGCCGCCCCAGCACGTCGGCGGCGGCGGCGCGCACCAGCCCACCTTCAAGATCTTCTGCCGCCGACCAACCCGCGCGACGAGCACCATATCCGCGCACGGGATGTAGGCGGCGCCCTTGGCCACGCCGGCATGAGCGGCCCTGCCGCTCCTCCGCTTGCCACTTGCCCAAGATCAGCCCGAGGACGCCGCCGCCGCCGTCCTCCCGCGTCGCCGCCGCCGTCGTCCTCCCGCGCCACCACCGCCGTCCTCCTCGCTCCGCCTCCTCGTCGCCGCCTCCGGGAAGAGGGAGAGTCGGGCGCGGCGGGGACGGCGCGCGCCGCCGCGGGCGGCGGCGACGACGCCACGTCGGTGGCGACGACGGCGACCACCACCACCGCCGTAGTGCTCGCTGACGACGGGGGCGGAGGCGGCGAGGGAACGGGCGGCGGAGGAGGGGAGAGCCGGCGCTGTTGGGTGACGAGGGAGGAGGAGGAGCAGTTTGGGATTTGGTGTCGGTGAAGATATTTGTGGGCCCCACAAGTGGTGCTTGCACTGTGAAGAGAGTGTCCCTATGTGTCATCCTGTGGTAACTCATATGGGGTGCTTGCAGTGTGAATGGCCTTATGAACTTCATATATATAACACACATTCCCTCACAAGAATGTACCGCTCCGAGGTGTACTCGTATACAGTACATAGCTTGACACAAGTTTAAGATTATTGAAAAGGATAATTAATAAACACCATTGGAAATGAGAATGTTGGAGCATGATATTATAATAGTACAGCAAGAGGATGCATCACCGACAGCGTAGTTCAAGAGAGACATATGTATATCGATCGATCGATCAATCTCTTGTGTTTCAAGAATCCCTGCACAGCTAGCTTCCCTGAAACGCTACTCCCTCACACAAGTTTTAGCAAAGCTCTGGCTAGCTAGCTGATGCGTGATTAATTAGTGTGTGTAGATTTTACAATTAACAGTGATCGTTTGGTACTATCTCCAGCCAGCTAGCTAGCTAAAGTATGTCAAAGATTCAAGAAAAACTAAGATCCCCTGGCTGAGTGCAAACGACGCCATCATCAATATGATAACCCTTTTATATAGCTAATTAATGAATATATTATTCTCTACCTGATCTCGCTGTTAATTTGATCATCCCGTAATTATATATTCTGCTTAACTATTTGTTGTCGAAAGTACCCCTCCGTAAAAAAAATAATACTCTCTCCATCCCAAAATATAAGGCGCCTATGCATTTCAAGATTTCACCTTCAAAGCATTTTGACTAACATTTAGTACATTATAAATTTAATTTTACTTGCTAAAAATTATATCATTGGATTGACATTTGAATTTCCTTTCATATGGTTATAATTTTGTTATTACAAACCTTATAATATATGAGAAATTATAAGATAGTAGTAAAGATTAGTCTTGTAGACCGTGTCAAGTTTGACCATGCTTTATATTATAGGATAGAGGAAGTATCTATTATAGTATCCAGAAGATAAATTAGTATGGAAAAAACTTCGATGCCGCTTATTAAATGAGTGGTCGTTGTGAGCGACAAGGTGATTTATGGTAAGATGAGGAAAAATTAAATTTAATTTCAGTGACGGGTGGTTGGAGAAAAAAATAGTACTATAAACTTAAATGCAACAACTGTATTTTTTAAGGTCGAGATTGTAATCGATTTCATTATTTCTCCGCTCAAAGAATTACTAGTCATCAGGGTCTGAAAATAAAATAGTAACCGCGCAATAACCATGTTCACCGGCATATTGAGTCTTCACGAATCGAGAAATCAAAAAAAAAAGTGAGATCCAAAATTTTCAACAAAAAGTTGTTTGAATTTCACCCATTTTCATCAGTAATCGAGATTGAACGGTAAATTTGACAAATCTAAACGATTTGTCAAACCCCTGCTGTGGTACTTACCGTCCTAGTAAATCAAATCAAATTAACCGCGCCCTTTTTGGCAGTAGAGGACAAGGAACTTTATTTGGAGTATATTGGTCGTTTCTTCCTTTCACACCCACACACAGACACAGTACGTGACGAGACGACGGGGGGCATAGTCGTCATTGTCAATGTCAAATGGTGCAACGCAGAGGCAAGCAGCGTGTGTGCGCCTCTTGCCCTTTGTGTGTGGGTGAGTGACTCAGCCAGCCGAGCCACCGGAGGCTTTACATACACACTCACTGTTGGGGTTGGAGAGGAGAGGAGAGGTGGGGAAAGAGAGAGAGGGGGGGGAGACTACTCGTCGGCTAGGTCAGGAGGCGGCCGGCGACCATGGGGCACCACTGCTGCAGCAAGCAGAAGGTGAAGCGAGGGCTGTGGTCGCCGGAGGAGGACGAGAAGCTCGTCCGGTACATCTCCGAGCACGGCCACAGCTGCTGGAGCTCCGTCCCCAAGCACGCCGGTATGTCGTACGTCGTCCCCCTCGCCGTCGCCGGAGCTGGAGTTGTGTAGTAATACTCCGGCGATCTATCCATTTCTCTCCGGCCAATCTGATTGATTCTTGGTTCTTGGATTGATTGGATCACAGGGTTGCAGCGGTGCGGCAAGAGCTGCCGGCTCCGGTGGATCAACTACCTCCGGCCCGACCTCAAGCGCGGCACCTTCTCCGAGCAGGAGGAGCGCACCATCATCGACGTCCACCGCATCCTCGGCAACCGGTAGGTCCTCCCCGGGCTCCATCGCTGCCGTCTCCTCTATTAATTAATAGGTGTCGATACCTACAAAAATTAGTCGATCGTCGGAAAACGTTATTGGTTCGTTCGGCTTGGCGACACCACTGGCTCCGTCACTGTTCTTGGGCCATGCGTATGGCGCATGGCTCTGCTTTGCTTTGCTTTTTTGGATTGAACTGGTTGGTGCATGGAGCTCAGAACGATTCCCGTGTGTCTCAGGTGGGCGCAGATCGCCAAGCACCTGCCAGGGCGCACGGACAACGAGGTGAAGAATTTCTGGAACTCGTGCATCAAGAAGAAGCTCATCGCGCAGGGGCTCGACCCCAAGACGCACAACCTCCTGCCGGCGTCGAAGACGCTCCTCCATGGCGGTGGCGGTGGCGGCGCTGCAAACCCTAGCGGCAACGGCCTCGCGCAGTTCCAGTCTAACAACGGCGCGGCGGCGGCGGGCACCACGCCGTTCACCATCAGCTCTCCGGCCAAGGCGGCCGCCTACGATGTCGCGCCGCCGGCGTTGTACGACGTCGTCCTCCCTGCTAACCCCGCCGGTGGAATGCTGATGGCGCATGATCACCACCATCATCACCAGGTCGCCGCGGCGGCGGCGCCGGTGGGATACCCCTACGCCGACCACGGCGGCAACGGCGGAGGCGTGCTGATGAGCTTCAGGGATCAGAACGCCGGCGTCCACGGCGCCGCCTCCATGGACTTCATGAACGGCTCCTCCTCGTCCTCTTCCATGGAGCAGCTCGGCGGCGGCGGCGGCATGTCGTCGAACGGCAACGGCAGCTTCAGCGCGAGCATGGCGGCGTTCATGGACGAGGAGGCGGCAATGTGGGCCACCGCCGTCGCGCCGCCGGGCATGGGCGGCCTCGCCGGGATGGATCAGGTGGCGCAGCAGCAGCAGCAGCAGCAAGTGCTGGTGCAGGATGCGGCCGTGGGCGTTGCGCCGACGACGCTGATGATGCACGGCGGCGGCGCCGCCACCGCCGGTGCAATGGTGGTGGACAAGAGCGTGGAGATGGTGGACGTCTCGTCGGCGGTGTACGGCGGCGCGACGGCGACGGCGTTCGATCTAGACCTGATGGTGGAGTCGTGCGGGATGTTCTGCGGCGGCGGCGGCGCCGGCAACGCCATGGAGCAGCTGCAGTGGGACTGCTAAGCCCATTTATCCTCTCACCCCTAATTAGTTCCTTAATTTCCCATGCTTAAATTCGATGCGTTTTTTATCCCCTTAGTTTCCATTTTGATGTTCAATTCCATGTGTTCTTGATTCAGAATGTTTCAGAGATCGTCCTTTCAGGCAAGAAATGCAATGCTAAGATGAGTGATAAGACAAACTTATCTAATTTAGACATCTCAAAAAAGTTGTGTCAAATTTCTTTTTTTGCATGTCATAAAGCATTTGTGGATATACATACATGACATTAATTTCTTGTAGTCTAGCTCCCAACATATTAATCAAGATGATGGTCATTCATGAATCTTTTTGATATATAGATATATGATCAACCCTTCTTGATTACATCTTAACTCTGTTGCATCATTTTCATGCATATAATCCAGTCAACTCGTTTAGTCATGAGATGAGAGCAACAAGTCAGTTATTGTTTTCTTCCTAGTGTGTGTGATGTGAGAGCAACAGCTCAGTTATTGTTTCTTGCTAGCTACAGCACTGACATTACATACGTTTTCAACCCTTTTAGTGCAAGAAAAGTTTGTTTCAGTTTTGTCAATTTATGCATAAGCATACAAGTTTCTCCAACAAACACTGCACCTATGCATGCATGCTTGAGTGAACCTTTAATTCATCTCCAACATGTACATATCTTACAAAGGATAACCATTGCACTGCATAAGAAAAATAAAAGGTCATCAACCATTCTCTCCAACAAACACACAGTGCATGATCTTGCAACGTCTTCAATTTGTCTCTGTCCATACATTTTGGAAACTGAAGGGAAAACAAATTAAAGCTAGCTCTCATAGTTCCATGTACACGTGTACATATATCTACTGGCAAGGTATAACTCATCTGAGTCATATATATACTTCATGATGATTGATGGAGATTGTTTCCAATTTGTCAGCTACTATCGAATAATAATTAATGTGCACATAATGTGAAACATTGGTATATGTTAGACGTAAATAACTTATTAATTAGCCTACAACTCAATGACACAAGCATAGTAATTGCATGCTAATGCTACTCTCCTTTTTTAGTATTTTTGTTTAGATTTTGTCTTGAAATACCTGCATTTAATTGTGAAACAATATAGATATATCAAGACATAAATACTGTGGCATGCCGCATGCATTTCCTATTTATATATAAACTACATGCACACTTCTGTGTTTTTAAATACATATATAGCACACATCAATTAATTAATTGTGATCTTGAATAAAAAGGTCGATGCTACAATAACTAGCAAGTGCATTTTACATATCACACTAATTTGGGCATATATAGAAAGATATATGATTCTGTAGCCAAAAGAAAGTTGTTTATAAACATAAAATTATATACTTTTTTAAAAATATATATGTATCATGCATGAATACACATTAATAATAGCTACTGGATTGTTTCCACTCACCTGGGATGAGATGTACGTCTTGGGCAAATTTTTGTGCAAATAGACATGTGTTCGATTATACATATATAGAAAACTACTATATATAGTTAATTAACTAGTTAACATAGTCATGCTGGAATATATTAATATAGTAACTAAGTTGCATCTGTCTTCCTAAATATGAATAGCTAGCTAGATGCTTAATCGACCTGGCCGACCCAGAGATTGGATATATATGATTTAGTGCATGTCAGTATACTTATATTTGAATGGCTATATATTAATTAATGGTGTAATTCTAAGTGCAATATGGTTATGTGTCAGCTGACCCAACATCTATTTTGTCCTGAATCGCTTGGTGAATTTTAATACATTTATGGAGACCAAACACATGGAAGTTTTCTTATTTAATTTGCATGCAAGCTATTATTAAATTATCAACCTAGTCAACTTTGTGAAAACAGGATATATTTTGTTGCATTGCATACATATATATTATAGTTACTGTAAAATTTTATGTGAATATAATATATAGGTCACTTAGAGAGTAGCTAGTATGTTTGGCCACATAGGCGTGTGCAATGTCTGGTTAGTTCTTGCTAATACATGCCAAGCTATTTCTGTTAAGAACTTCAAAAGCTATGAGGATCTTTAATCCAAAGAAAATAAGGTATAACCAGACTTATATAGATTCTTTCACGCTACTAAAAAGAATGTATCATGTCAAAAGGATTTTCCTAGTGTTCTCAAGTCCATGTGGTTGAACTTGATGTTCAAAAGGAAAAAAAGAAATGTGAAAGATCTTATAAGCAAAATTACAAGTAGCATATATATAGAGAGGACAGCAATTTAATGCATGCAACCGTTATTTTTGTCAATTCATTTATCACAAGTCAATGTGCTTTCTAGCCTTTTATTATCATTCATTTTTTGTTGTGTTATGTTAATTAATTGTTGAAATTATATACTCACATTAGCCACACAAATTGTGCTATGAGTAAAAAACTTGCCATGTGGATGCATTTAAGTACAACAACTTCAAAATTGAGCATTTGCATTCGACAACTTGAGATGTGTATTTGAAGGTCACAACTTGATAATTGAGCATTTCGGTGTTGTGACTTGGCTAGGTGGGTGCGTTCTTAAAGGAGTTGACGTATGTGGTTTTTTTGCCACATCACTCATGCCTTCATGGGAAAAATATCATGTGTGGCGACTCCTTTGACCAAAAACGCATCTACCTAGGCAAGTTATTGCACTTATATGCTTAATTTTTAAGTTGTTGCACTCACCCACCTGCTACGTTATTGTACTTAAATGCTCTACTTTCATGTTGTTGTACTCACCTATCTAGTTCTGGCCGGTACGGGTTTAGCAATTTAATTACTTTATGTTAGAGTATATGAATAGGACTCTAGTATTCGTTTGTGACACTGGAAAGGATTTGTTTCCATCTATATCTCTAGTTTTACTTGAGATTGAAGTCATGTACTTCTCTCTCTCTCTCTCTATACACACACACACACACACACACCATTAATCTTCTCTTTCTATACTATTCAACACTCTAGGAATTGATATATACCTATATAATGGATTACTTTCCTAGCCTATACTAGTAACTAAATTTCTCGTAAACATGATATTGTACCTCTTAAGATCGATATGATCCAAAATTTGAAGGTCAATCATATGTGGGTTTTCCAAAATGTATTGGCATTATATTGCCAGTTTCTGAGAGAAGCAGAGTATTATTTTGTGATTATCAAGTTCAGTTCCATGGTTCCAAACGTACGCAGCTCTCGTGAGCAATGCCTCATATATAGGCCCCGTCAGGGACAACTATAATTTTTTTACATTACAAATTTACAATCTTCAATTCGAGCAAGAGAGATCAATGCTCAATACATCCGGAGAACCAATCAGCTTGCCAAACAGCATATATATATCATGCTGAGCTACGTACCTAATTACAATCTCTCTTTTACTGTTTCGACACAAACGACGTCACCCAATAAACTCATCGATTATCTCTTTAGCATATACAGCCTGCATTATGAGACCAATGCATATACTTGGTGCAGGAAGTCCTTCCACGCATGCTGCACAATCGGGGTCTCTAAGATTATTCGGATTTGGAATCAATTATATGTTCCAACACAAGCCTGTAAATTCAACACTTTCCTTCATGCGTTGAGTAATTTACTGAATTAACCCTTAAGATAATCCCAATGTGCCTAGCAGCTGATAGCTGAGAAGGGAATTAAACGAATATTGTTTGGCGATGTGCGAAATGCGCTGAAAGGGATAGAAGGGTGTGGGAGATTTCTCATGACCAATATAAGGTGGCTCAATTTGAGAGAGGAGATTTTTACTGAATAAAAAAAGTAACTAGCCTGTCATTTGCCTCTAGTTATATATTCTATTAGCAACAAAACAGCTGCTGGACATTTTCGCAGCGAAGGGTAGCTATGTATCCAAGCAAGTTACTCAGCGTCTTCCAGTCAATCAAATCAGCCATTCCAATCCCTAAGGCGAGATTTAAAAAGTACAGTACTACATTTAGAAATTAAGGAACCTAGAGAAAACAGCAGACAAAATAACACTGCTGTACCCCGACTTTATTTGTTTAACCATGGCTATATGAGGCACAAAGAAAGAGCTGGAAATAAGAGGGATAAAAAATATCCACAGAAAGAATTAATATACTCCCTCCGTTTCATATTAAAAGTCATTCGATTTTTTTTTGTCAAAATTATTTAGGTTTAACTAAATTTATAGAAAAGATTAGCAACATATAACACCAAATTAGTTTCATTAAATTTAACATTGAATATATTTTGCTAATATATTTATTTTGTATTAAAAATATTAGTATATTTTTCTATAAATTTAATCAAACTTAAAAAAGATTGTGTAAAAAAAAAGTCGAACGACTTATAATATGAATAGGATGGAGTAGCCATGAAGCTCTGCAAGAAACCTCCTACAATAGGCAACTAGTTGGATGGAGGAAACTAAGCGGTACACTTCAATCAATCGCCAGCTAAATAATTCTCTAATCCCCTCCTTTTAGGTGAGAAAATTTTGTGCAGACAAGTCGATTTGTTTACTAAACCCTAAACCGGAATTGTCTCTCGCCATGATTGGGGCTGAGAGCGACGCATGCAGAGGACAGAAATAGCCATTCATTCGAAGAACATATGGAGTATTGTCGAACACTGCACAGTGCCATATGGGTTGGGATATATATCTCGATCAATCAATTTTCAATCCAGAGTGCACGTCCATGCATGCAAAGGTGAAAACGTGTAGGTTTTTTGCGATCAATTCATGTCTGAAAAGTGAAAAGTTCCAGTGACTTGGAGAAGGCAACCAATTAGGACATGTTAACAACCTTGAAGTGAATTGCAGCGAGCTAGCTGCTCGTCGTTAATTACTTGTACCGAGTACCGACCGATCGATGGGGATGCAAATCTATGTTGATTAGGAATTAATACATTTTTATGGGAAGTGAAAAGGAGAGGACCGATCGATCGACCAAGGTGATCCACCGACAGTTTAAATTCTTACTAGATCTCAACTCTGGTAATTAAGAATCTTCATAAAAAAGATAAATTAGTCACAACCTTACCTTACTGTTGCCTGAACTTTAACCTCCAACAGTATTATTTCTACGTCAGAGAATCCGTTTCCTCTTATCCACTTTGTTATCATTTTTAACTCTACCAAATTTTAATATTATTAAATTTTGGTAGGACAATAAAACAGTTTC